GGGGGTTTTGGGGGGGGAACTGGGTTTTTGGGGGGAAGAATTGGGTTTTTTTGGGTCAGAATGGGGTTTTTTGGGGGAAAGAACTGGATTTGGGGGGAAATAATTGTTTTTTTTGGGTCAGAATTAAGGTTTATTTGAAAGAATTGGGTTTTAGGGGGAAGAATTGGGATTTTGGGGGGAAAAATTGGTGGGTTTTAGGTCAAAATTGGGTTTTCGGCGTCAGAATTGGGTTTTTTTGCGTCAGAATTGCTTTTTAGGGGGGAAAGAATTGGGATTTTTTTTAAGAAGAACTGAGTTTTGGGGAAAAATGGGGGTTTTTGGATCAGGATTGGGGTTTTGGGGGAAAATTGGTTTTGGGGGGTCAGAATTAGTTTTTTGGGGGAAGAATTGGGATTTGGGGGTCAGAATTGGGATTTTTTTGGTTGGAATTTGGGGGGTTTTGGTCAGAATTGGGGATTTTGTGGGGAAAAAATAGTTCTTTGGGGGAAAAAATTGGTTTTTTGTGGGAAGAATTAGGGTTTTTTGGGGGGGAATAGTTTTTTGGGGGAAGAATTGGGTTTTGGGGGTCAGAACTGTTTTTTTTGTGGGAAGAACTGGGTTTTTTTGGGGAGAAAAATAGTTTTTTGGGGGAAGAATTGGGTTTTGGGGGTCAGAATTGGGTTTTGAGGGTCAGAATTGGGTTTTGAGGGTCAGAATTGTTTTTTGGGGACAAGTCTTGTGAGGAGTGGCTGAGGGAACTGGGGGTGTTTAGCCTGGAGAAAAGGAAGCTGAGGGGAGACCTTATCACTCTCTACAACGACCTGAAAGGAGATTGTAGAGAAGTGGGGGTCAATCTCTTCTCCCAAGGAACAGGCAGTAGGGCAAGAGTAAATGGCCTCAGGTTATGCCAGGAGAGGGTTAGATTGGATATTAAGAAAAACTTCTTCATTGAAAGGGTTATCAAGCGTTGGAACAGGCTGCCCAGGGAAGTGGTGGAATCGCCACCCCTGGAGGTATTTAACAGACGTGGTGCTGAGGGACATGGTTTAGTGGTGGTTTTGGCAGCGTTAGGTTGATGGTTGGACTTGATGATCTTAAAGGTCCCTTCTAACCTAGACAATT